TAAGAAAGTAAAAAACAATGAGAAAAGACAAGATGGAGAGCTATTTCCAGTGTCTGGCATATTTGTGAGATAAGGTAGGACCTTATCTCTCTTCATTTCAGGAAATTCTGAATCAAATAACCTCACTTCAGATTATATTAACAAATACTTAACCTCTTCCTACTTTTTCTAGCCATGCACTCATTTCTTAACACTTTGTCATCCAGTTCCCAAATAATTCTTTGAAGGTCACTAATAATCTCCTAAATATTATATTTAATAAACATATGTCCATACTTAAATATTTTACCTGTATGTATCATTTGCATTATTAATCACCTTTCCCTTTCCCAAAATTTTTGCATCCTGTGGTTCCACAATGTGTTATTTTATTCTTCCTCCTACCTCTTTGAGCCTTCTTTTCTGCCTTTGATTTCTTTGTTTTCATATATATATTTCCATAGGTAAATAACTACAAAATGTTACAACAAAGCCTAAAGCAGTTCAGCATCTCTAGCCTGTTTTTATACAAGCCAGGGACCTTAATATTCTTTAGCTAAATGCAATGAATGTCTCTCTTCCTTTGTCATAAATTTCTAGTTTTCTTAGTTTCAGTTTTAGTTTACTCACGTACAAACAATAAATAATTTCTGTAAGTAAATTTCTGGATATATGTTATCAATTTCTGTGATTATTTTTATTTCTCCCTTGTCATGCCTTCCTATTGGACTTACTAATAGGTATACATATTACAGAGGCATACACTATGAAAATATTTTAGTGAGAATCTGTAGGTGGCAAACTCCCTTAAGTCTTTGTATGTCTGAAAATATCTCCATGTTCTCATTCTTGAGGGACAGTTTAATACTTACTTCTAGGTTATTTTTTTCCTCTCAGCGTTCATAATATATTGCTCCATTCTTTTCTGAATTTTTTTTCTTGAGATATTTGGAATCACCCATTATAAGGTGGGTCCTGTCAGAAACTCCAAGTCAGACAGCCCAAATCCATCGAAAGATTAAAATAGTACATCTTGGGACACCAACCATGAACAGGATCAAAGGACATAAGCAAGCTGCATGACCAGGTAATTCAGACTCCCAAACCATCCACCAAGGTTGCACTAGAACACCATTCTCAGCTCACACCAGTGGTTATATGGGGGGTTTTGTATGAACAGTTAAGGGAGGAACAAAAAGCCTCAACTTTTATGGATAGGTTTATGGGTTGGCTGGATAAACAGGTGGCAGTTGGAAATGGAAAGCAGCTGTATAATAGCATCATCCAGGGTGTCCTTGAATGATCATGGAGAGAAAAATTTTCTCAAAGGGTAAAGCTCTGAGCTGTGCTCCTAAAGATTCATGTTGTTGGTATCTCTATAAATTCCTTAAGACAAAAAGCTATACAAGAGAGCTTTGAATTCTCCTTCTCTATTATCCACTATTTTCAGTCAATATTCTTAATTTAGATAACATAAAACGTACTCAAGCTACTTATGCAAATAAGGGGGGGAGATTTTATGATAAAGATAGGAATATTTTTAAGAACTACAAGGCAGGAATAAAAGCAGGCCTAAGCAAAATTCCATAAACAGAGATTGAATTACATCTGGACTCTTCCCATATCTCATCTCTGTTCTCTAAATATATGATTTCCTCTCTCTCTCTCTCTCTCTCTCTCTCCTTTTCTCTCTACACTGATATCTTCTGCTTCTCTACTACAAATGGTTTGTGGAAAACTGACAATCTCTATTTCTCAAGGTTTTATATGTATATATGAATGTATGCCGTGGTCCAACATCGAAGAGACTGAATTTTTAAAATTTGGTGTAAATATGGATTTTCATTCTGTTTTTATTTTTTTATCCTCACCTGAGGACATTTGTCCATTTTTTGTTCAGATAGAGTGGGAAGGAGAGAGAGGGAGAGAGAGAAACATTGACGTGATACATCGAGTGGCTGCCACCTGCACGACCCAACCAGGGCCGGGGACAAACTGCAACCAAGATACGTGCCCTTAGCGGAAACTGAACCCGGGTCTCTCTGGACTGCAGGCCGATGCTCTAACTGCTGAGCCAAACTGGCCAGGTCTGGATTTTCATTCTAAAAACAAAAACAAAAAACCCTCTAACTGGTCCAGCTTGAATCAGGTTCCTATTTTGGGTCCAATCAAATTGTGTACAATAGAGTCATCTTACTCAAAATGGTTGCTTAGAGGATCAGTCTTGACTTTGACAGAGAACTAGGTCACTGTGAACTGAACATATAGATATACTCTATATCCTCATTCAATCTCCCAGTCATCCAGGTTGAAGACCTCAAAATCAGCTATGGTTATCCTTCCCTTTTATTTACTATACAGTCCTGTTACCAAGAACTATTCCATTCTTTTTCCAAAATTACTTTTATCTAATTATATCTCCAATCCCACTATCTTTATTGTTTGCCAAAATGATAATTCAGAAAAAGAATATTTCATTATAGTTAAACCTGCATTTTTTAACTAACGGTGAGGATAAACTTTTTCCCCATGTTATAGACGATTAGTATTTCTGCTTTATTGGTTTGTATTATGGACTGAATTGTGTCCCCCTCACCCCCAAATTCGTATGTTGAAGTGCTGACCTCCAATATGACTGTATTTAGAGATAGGGTCTTTGAAGAGGAAATTAAAGTTAAATAATGTCATAAGGGTGAAACTCTGATCCATTAGAACTGGTGCTCTTATAAGAGAAAAAAAACATAAGGAATGTTTGCATATATAGAAAAGGCCATGTGAGGACACAGTGAGGTTTTCTGAAAATCAAGAAGAGAGGCCTCAGAAGACACCAAATCTGTTAACACCTTGATCTTAGATTCTAGCCTCCAGAAGTGTGAGAAAATACATTTCTGTTAAGCCATCCAGTCTGTGGTATTTTGTTACGGTAGCCCTAGCTAGTAATGCAGTTTGTCTCAGTTCATTAGCCATTTTTCTTTATTCCTTCTGCTAAGGGCTCTCTAAACATTAGGCTATTAGCCTTTTGTACAAAATAAATATTTAACTTACAAATATTTTTAATTTACAAATATTGTTCCCAATTTATTTGCCCCCTCACCTTTTTGTTTTGTATACTGAAATGTGTTTTTTAGTATAGTCAAAATTTTTATACCTTTCCTTATGGTTGCTGCATTTGAAACTGTGCTTAGAAAGTCCTTCCCATTCCCAGAATTATATTTATATTCATCTATATTTTATTCCAATTGTTTTATTATCTCCTCTGAATTTTATTTTCAGTATATGATGTGAGATAAAACAATTCTTGCCCTGGCCGGTTTGGCTCAGTGGTTGGGAGTGTCAAGGGTTCAGTTTCCAGCCCCAGTCAGGATAGTGCAGGAGTCAACCAGTTGATGTCTCTCTCACATCGATGTTTCTTTCTCTCTATTTCTTTCTCCCTTCCACTCTATCTAAAAAGCAATGGGAAAATATCTTCAGGTGAGGATTAATAACAACAACAAAATAGAACAATTCTTTTTACATACAGCTAACCAATTATCCCTGTACCACTTATTCATTTTCCCATTTATTTGAAATATTTTACCATTTCCTAAAAACTTATATGCACTTAAAACTTCTGCTGCTTTTTAGTTATGACATTCATTAATTCAATAATGCACTTTGGAGATCATTTGTTCTATAGTTATCATTAGGAAAAATGAATTTTCCATCAAATTCAAGAAACATTATTTTATCTTAAATTATTAAAAATATGGGGGGAGCCCTGGCCAGCTTGGCTCAGCAGTTAGAGCGTCAGCCTGTGATACAGAGAGACCCGGGTTCGGTTCCGCTAACGGTGCGTATCTGGGTTGCAGTTTGTCCCTGGCCCTGGTTGGGTCATGCGAGTGGCAACCACTTGCTGTGTCCCTTTCACGTCAATGTTTCTCTCTTTCTCTCCCTCCCTCTCTATCTGAACAAAAAAAAAAAAAAAAGGAAAAATGTCCTCGGTGAGGATAATATATATATATGAAATTTAATTAGAATATTATAATTGTTTTTAGGTGATGATAAATATAGACAATTACTTTAACCCAATAAAGGAAGGAGAGAGTACCATCCGATTTAGTTGCATTATTTTACTAGGGGAAAAAAATGGTGGAGAAGAAACTATTTGAGGGTTAGCAATAGGCTTTTTTAGGATCCTTTTGATAAAACAGTTGTCCTTTTAAATAGAATTAGTTATTCAAAAAAAAATTTTTTTTTCTTTTTTCTTCCTCATGGGACAGGAGGGCTGGGTGTTCTTCCACACTTTGTTGTAAGAAGAAAACGTACCTAAGGGTGGCCAGTGGGTGGAGAGTTGTGTAGCTCCCTTGAGAAAGGGGCACAGACAAGAGCTAAGTCGCACAGGCCAGCACCGTCCAGGCTGAACTGCTTTGATAGCACTCAGTCTCTCCGGTCCATATTCAAGGTCAGGACAATTCCAGGGGCTTCAGGAAAAATTCGAGAAACTTGAAAATCCTGCCAGAGCTTTAGCTACTGTTACTATCAGCTATCCAGGATTTTCTGTCAGCTCTCCATCTGCAAGCACTTGACAGCCACACTGCGAATGTGACGTGTATCATCACGGTGGCTTCTGAGACGCTGAAAATGCGACTCCAGGACTGAACCCCCCAAAGCAAACAGGCAGAACCGTGGCCGCGGGGTGGCCCGGTGGCACCGTCGATCAGAGCAGCCGGGGCCGAGGGAACCGAGACTCGCGTCGGAGAAACACTAGAAGAGTAACGGAGCTTCTTCCGAGGCACGCTCGGCGAGAGGCAGAGCCCACACCGGGGGGCGCGGAGAAACTGTTCTAAGATTTTTGAAGGTCATAATGGTGAAGCTGTTGAAAACTGTAACGACCCGTTTCAGCCAACGCCGTGCAAAAAAGAGGTGGCAAAACTCTCCACCGGGCGTTGCTGCCGCTCGCTACACGTCCCTCCCGGCATCCTTTGCGCCGCGCCCGAGAACGCCCCGGCGCGCTTTGGCCCCTTCGGCCGCCGTCAGCTGTGAGTTGCCTTGGTAACCCGCTGCCATTACTATGTCGATACAACAGGCCTCTCAGTCTCGGGTGTTCGTGGAACTGGTTCCCTGGACTGACCGGGGCCGGGAGAACAATCTAGTCTCTGGCGGAGAATCGCTGCCGAGCCTCCGCCGTCCCCTCTTCTCAGCCCACGTCCCAACTTCGACTCGCGAGGTGCACGTAAGCGGCAGCGCGGAGGTGTCCGCAAGCCCAGACCGGGCGCAGGTAGCGGTGCGGGTGAGCAGCACCAAGGAGGCAGCGGCCGAGGCCAAGAAGAGCGTTTGCCGCCGCCTGGACTACATCACGCAGAGCCTCCAGCAGCAGGGTCTGCAGGTGAGCGCGGCGCGGGAGGAGGCTGGAGCCGGATCGTGAAAACCAGATGGCAGAGGTTCTGGCCCCGATGGCTTCCGGAGCAGGGGTGCAGGTGTGGAGGGTCGTGAGCATCTGAGACACCTTTGTTTCAGCGGTCTCCTAGGGTGCCAGGACCTGGCCTGTCGTCTACTGGGTGAAAGTAATTATTGGCCTCAGTGACTTGTAAAATAAGAGAATGCAAATTGAGTAGGGTTTTATGTGGCGATATTTGCTGCAATAATTTTGTTTTTAACCTTGAAAAAAGGATGAACTGTTAAAACTTGAAACATTAGATGCAAATGTTGCCTACGTCATGTGCCATACATAATCACTTTTTGTTTTGATGCTGCACCTTAGAATCGGCAAGCGAAAAAGCATGGCCTACTTCCTCCCAGCCATGTAAAGCCTCGCACGGAATGGTTCTTCAGTATTTTTTACGAACTGTAATGGGTGGGGGGCGGGGACAGTTGACTTAAATTTTTTTCCCAAATTTTTTAGTTTTAAATTTTAAAAATCAAGCCATTATATTGCAGATGCCACCTATATTAAATACCCCTGATGTCCATGAAACAAATTACTAAATAAATCTAACCTTAAGCTTACTTTCAAGAAGAGAAATAAAAAAAAAATGCCTTGTTTAATCCATACAACAGCCTGGTTTGGCATGTTTTAATACTCTCATTTTCCAGATTTAAAGAGATTAAGTAATAACTAATGCTCTGAACTTCAGCCAGGGTGATAGTTGAACTCCTGTATTCCTGAAACCAAAATACAGGTTTGAACTCCTGTATTCCTGAAACCAAAATTCAGGTTGCGTCCAACTATGCCAGGTTTCTGATAATTAGAATAAAAGAAAACCAGAATCCATAAAATGGGTCAACTATCTCAATTCTTTCATTTTACAGAATAGGACTCTAAAGGCCAGAGTTGTGATTTAACCAGGATAACACTAAGTTTATAAAAGTGCTTCCAATTTATTGTTAGAAATGACATATCCCAAACAATCAATCTTGAAGAATTAAATATATTTGGACTGTGTTTACAGAGTTATTTTTAAAATCATTTGGAAAAGATGTCTCTAAATGACATCTCCTATAGTTTTATGATCACATATAGTTTCATAGATAGAGCCTAACTCTGTCATTTCCTATCATCTCCCCTGGTTGACTGGCTGACTCCCTTTTTTTTTCTTCAAGAATTAGCCCAAGTTCACCTCCTTGATATTCCTTTCCTAACTTAACAGTATTCCCTGTCATGCCACACTCCACTCCCCACTTGTAATGAAACTTAACATTCTATATTATATTTGTTGCTTTACTTGGTTCTTCTCCATATTCTAAACCTCTCTAGAGAAGAGACCATTCTGTCTCTTGTTTGCTTTGAATTCATGGATTATGCTTCATATATACCACATAGTGTATACTCAGAAAATTGTTTCTAATGAATAAAAGAAAAAAAATGAGTGAAGCATTAAATTAGGAAACAATTAGTTCAACTATATTATAGATCATATATAGTTTTATGATCACATATAGTTTCATGAGTAAAGGCATAACCCTCATTTTTTAGTGTTGTTTTCATGGAAAAATGCTTTAAAGTTCTAAGCAGTATATACTCATTCAACCATCAGACATTTATTAGGCATTACCTATCAATGTTCAATTTAAAATAGCATTTAGTAATAATATGTAATTATTTGCTTTCCGGTTTGTATGTTTCTCTCATAGGCTGTAAGCTCCAATATCTGCCTACTCCTAACTGTATATTTTTTTTCAATAAACATGTAATGGATGTCTTAAGCACGTTGCTAGGCACCACCTACATGGTCCCTTTGGGGCCGGGAACAAACTGCAACCGAGGTACGTGCCCTTAGTGGGAACCAAACCCAGGACTCTCTGGTCCGTGGGCCGATGCTCTAACCATTGAGCCAAACTGGCCAGGGCGACACGTGTCAAATCTTAAACAGTGGCTGAAGAGAAGGCATTCCAGTTTCACACTACAGTGCAGTAAGTATGTGTGTTCAGAGCACTATCCACACTTCCATATGGCTAGGGCACAGGTAGAGAAAATGGAGGGGAATCAAGAAATAAGACCGAAGAAGAGAACTGTATGAAGAACATGAAAGAAGGCCTTGTGTACAATATTGAGGAGTTCGGAAATTATTGATAATAAAAAATTCCTTACTATTGCCCTGGCCAATTTGGCTCTGCAGTAGAGCATCAGCCCATGGACCAAAGGGTCACGGGTTCAATTCTGGTCAAGGGCACATACCTTGGTTGTGGTTCAGTCCCCGGCCCTGGTCAGCATCATTCGGGAGGCAACCAATCGATGTGTCTCTCTCATGTCTATGTTTCTCTCTCTCTCTCCCACTCTATCTGAAGATAAAAATGGAAAAAAAGTATCCTCAGGTGAGGGTTTAAAAAAAAAAATCCTTACTATTGCTAGACCTTTTACAAATGTTATCTCATGTGATTCTCCCACCATATGAGACTGGTAGTTCAGTTGCTGTTTTACAGATGAGAACTCCCAGCACCACAGTGGTTATTGGCAGTAGCTTGTCCAGCATCACACAGCTAGGAAGTATCAGAATTTTAGGCTCTAGTCAAGAACTCTAACCGGAAAGCCTGTGCTCTTAACTGCTAGAGTATATTGCTGCTTTAATGTCTCGGCAGGGGATGGGTGAGGTTTTAAGATACTATTAATACTTCACACTTGTATTCCTTGCCACTTTACATTTTTATGCATACAGTCCAACTTTCATCTGCCAAAACTTGTAAGTTTTTGCCAGCTTTTCAGGATACTTCTAAATTTTCTTTTTCAGAGAGAAAAACACTAGAGTTATAAAAGGAATTCAGTACAGAAAGAGTCTTTTCAACAAAGGGTGGTTGCTGTAACAATTGAATGTCCATGTGCAAAAAATGAATCTTGACACATACCTCATACCTTTTACAAAAACATGTTCAAAATGCGCCTTAGACCTAAATGTAAAACATAAAGAAGAAAGTAAAGGACAAAAATCTATGTGATGTTGGTTTGAAGATGAGTTTTTAGCTATATTACCAAAAGCACAAGCCATGAAAAACACACATAACAAGATAAATTGGATTTTATCTAAATTAAAAACGTTTGCTTTGTTAAAAACATTGTTAAGACCCTGGCCAGGTAGGTCATTTGGTTAGAGCATAGTCCTGATACACCATGGTTGCAGATTCGATCCCTGGTCATGGTAATATAAGATGATAACATCAGAGAGATCTGAAACCATGGTATAGGGGAATTCTCTGTACTATGTTGGCAAACTTTCTGTAAATTTAAAATTATTCTTAAATAAAAAATTTATTAAAAGTAGGTTATAGGCCTGGCAGGTGTGGCTCAATTTGTTGAGCATGGTCCAATGCACCAAAAAGTCACTTGTTCAATTCCAAAGAAATAGAAGATATGTTTATGTCATAAAAGAATATTAAGTGACAGAAGTTTCATGTTAAGTGAATAAATCTGATTACAAGAAATATATAGAGTACTGTTTCATTTTATATTTATCTAGTCTAAATTTTCTACAGTGAAAAGTTATCTTTATCATAAAAATGCGTAAATATTTTCATGAGTGGCAGACATCAAAGCTATAATTGGAACTTCAGTTCAAATTTTGGGGTTAAAGCTTTTTTGAATTTTTCTAGATAATGTAAACTGCTTGAACTTAGTTTATATCTTAAAATTCAGAAGCAGCTAAGTCCCCTGTTAAAGAACATATAATTAGGTCCTGGCCAGGTAACTCAGCTGATTAGAATGCCATCCCTATACACCAAGGTTGTGGGTTTGATCCCCTGTCAAGGCACAAGAATCAACCAATGAATATATAAATAAGTCGAACAACAAATCGATGTTTCTCTCCTTCTCCCTTTTTCTGTTTTTCTAAAATCAATCAATAAATAAAATTTAAAAAGACCATATAATTAAATCATTATTGGGCATAATAATCTATATATATTTAGCATATATTTTGAAGGATACCAAAATTTTGTAAAATATAAGGTCCGCCTGTCCCCAAAGATGAGAGTTGATAAAGAGTTCATTTTAGCCCTGGCCGGTTTGGCTCAGCGGTCAGAGCGTCAGCCTGCGGTCCAGAGAGACCCGGGTTTTGTTCCCACTAAGGGCACGTACCTCAGTTGCATTTTGTCCCCGGCCCTGGTTGGTCGTGTGGGTGGCAGCCACTCGATGTGTCCCTTTCACATCGATGTTTCTCTCTCTCTCTCTCTCTCTCCCTCCCTCCCTCCCACACTATCTGAACAAAAAATGGGAAAATGTCCTTGGGTGAGGATTAAAAAAAAAAGTTCATTTTAGTAAATTTAAAAAGTCTTATGAAAAGCAAATAAGAAATTTAACATTTTTATCAAAATTGTATACTTGTATTTACCCAGAGATTCATAAAGCATTAATATTTTCTAAAAAGAAACTGGTCTGGGTTCAGTATTTTAGGAAACTTTTATATAATAATAGCATAGCATCTACATTTGCTTAGTACCTTCTCTGTGTTAAGCACTTGAAATACAACTTGTCATTAAATCCTCAAAACAATTCTAAGTACTATACTTGGTATTAACCTAATTTTATAAATGCAGAAACTAAGGCTCAAAAAAGTTGAGTAACTTGCCCACTATAGGTATTCAGTAAATTTGTATTAAATTATTTATAAATTAAATACTTTAAAAACTATTTACATTCCTATAACATTCAGAATGTTGTGTACAATAACTAATTCTTCATGTATATACCACCCTAAGTTCATACTTTTTGTACAAGCTAATACAAAAATTACTACAAGTGAAATAATGATGGAATTTTTAGCAAAAAATGTGTAGGCTTCTGAGTGTATTTTGTTACTTTAGGGAAGTTTAAAACATCAATCAAACCAGTTATTTGTGCATATTATGTCATTCTGATTTTAATAAGTTCAGGTTGCTACTTTATGTTTTAGAGTAATTCCATTTAGTAGCCAAACATTTAGTAATCATACCCTTGTACTTTCTGTTTCAGGCAGAAAATGTAACTGTGACGAAGGATTTTAGAAGAGTGGAAAATGCTTATCACATGGAAGCAGAGGTATGTACTTACCTTAGCAAATAATTGTAAACAGCATGACTTTGTGTGGACAATTTGCATTTATTTTTGTTCTTGAACTGAAATGTACAGGAAAGGTTATTTTTCTAAAAATCATTTTTGATGTTACATATCTGTGAGCTTTTAAAATAAATGTAATGATACTACTTAAGAGAAATTGTTTTGAAATGGAATAAAAATAACAAGGGGGGAAGTAGCAGTTAATTGCCACCTGAATAAAATTTTAGTAATGTTATCATTACAGAGTAAGCAGGAAACACTACAGGAGAGAAATTTCTTCTTAGATAAAAAGTAAATTAATAAAGTCGTAACAAAGGATTGAAATACTTTGTAACATTCTTTTATTTCACAATGCAATCTTACTGTGTTGTGCTAAGTTAAGAACAAAATATTAAATTAAAAAGAACAAGATATTTTTGTATACTCAATTAATGATAACACTTAGTTCTTAAGTAACTGTGTATACTTTTTACTTATCTTTAAAGAGTTTATGATCAGGATTTTATGGAATCAGAGTATGTTATAGCTGTGGTTAGGTTACAGGACTGCTTTCTGATTAGGACCATCTCGGGGTCTGTGCTTGGTCCATGCTGCTGCCTTGCCGCAGGAAACAAGAATGGGGTTAGAGTGGAATCTTATTTATCTAGTTGGAGAATCTGTGTCTTTAGAGGTGGAAATACTTCAAGAAATCACCTTGTCCCACCTTCAGGCAGGTAGTATATTATTTTTCTAATTTTATTTTTTTTTTTTTTTTTTTTTTTTTTTTTTTAATCCTCACCCGAGGACATTTTTCCATCTTTTGTTCAGGTAGAGTGGGAGGGAGAGAGAGGAACAGAGAGAGAGAGAGAAACATCGATGTGAAAGGGACACATCGAGTGGCTGCCACCCGCACAACCGACCAGGGCCGGGGACAAACTGCAACCAAGGTACGCGCCCTTAGCGGGAACCGAACCCGGGTCTCTCAGGACCGCAGGCCGACGCTCTAACCGCTGAGCCAAACCGGCCAGGGCTATTTTTCTAATTTTAAAGGTATGACATGCTCAGATATCTTAGGCTCAGACTTCTCCAAGATCATATTACAAAAAATTAGAATGGAATGGCTATTAGAATCCTGGCTCTTTACTTCTGTGAGAGTAATTTCCACAGTACACTTCTGCCCCAATAATTATGCTAGCAGTTTTGTGATTTCTCCACTTAAAATTTAACTCTCTCAGGGAATTTAAAAATTACTCATGATGTTTTTAGGGATCCATTTAATAAAAGTTATTTTGTACTAGACTAGTGGGAACCTAAAAAAAATACCTTTCAAAACAGGATGAAGAGCAGTCTGGTAAGATTCCATATTATAGAGGTCAAAAGCTGGAAGTTGTTCTAGCACTCCTCCAGCAGTTACTACCAGTTAGTTGCAGTGAACATAGACAGGTTCAATTTATCTTGGTTAATGGGATTTATTGTGAGGGGACATCAGGAAATAAAGGGGAAAAGGAACAGTTCCAGCAAACACACAGCCAGGCTTCATGGTAAACTGGAATGTTTTTCAGACTGAGTTGTTGTAAGGTCTGACCCTCCAGGTACAGAAAATACATTAGAGCTACTTGTTTTATTGTAAGACATGACTAAATGGGGACTTGGCTAAACTCTGTTCATCTTCCTTCTGCTATACTTACCTTTTTAATGTCTTGTATTCAAATTTCTTAATAGAGAATCTGATTATATTTTGTATAGGGCTTCCTGGTACACAGAATTCATACCATACAATCCAGTATATGATTGCTGTTAGGTCAGCATTAGCAGTCAGAGGAGACCAGGATGGTGGGCTTACGAGTTAAAGAACAATGTCTGGCTTTATGGCTGTGGATGTAGTGAACACTAATACCCAATGTTTTACATATACCAATATTTTCATGGACAGTTAAATATATAGAGTAAGTTTAGATGGTAGAGCAATACTTTTTATGTCATTTCTGAAATATTCATCCTGAAAGGCACTTTTAAGATTCTTTTTGTTTGTTTGTTTGTTTTTTATCCTCACCCGAGGACATTTTTCCATATTTTTGTTCAGATAGAGTGGGAGGGGGGGGAGAGAGAGAGAGAGAGAGAAGCATCGACATGAAAGGGACACATCGAGTGGTTGCCACCCACACGATGGGGACAAACTGCAACTGAGGTACGTGCCCTTAGCGGGAACCGAACCCGGGTCTCTCCGGACCGCAGGCCGACGCTCTAACCGCTGAGCCAAACCGGCCAGGGCTAAGATTCTTTATCTAAACTTCCACTTACCATGCTGCTGCTGCTTATTACAAAGATAAGAATAAGTTAGAAATTATTATTATTATTATTATTTTAAATACAATCTTTTTTTTTCTTTATTGATTTTAGAGAGCGAGAAGGGAAAGGGAGGGAGGGAGAGAGAGAGAGAAAGAGAGAGAGAGAGAGAAACATCAATGAGAGAGAACATTGATTGGCTGCCTCCTGCATGACCCCCACTGGGGATTTGACCCACAACGAGGGCATGTGCCCTGACTGGGAATTGAACCAGTGACCTCTTGGTGCATGGGTTGATGCTCAAACACTGAGCCACACTAGCTGGGTGAAAGTTAGAAATTATTTAAGTGACTTCTTTACAGGTGGATGAGTGGTGGTTATGTGTAGAGAGGGGATTTGGATGAAAACCTTGGCTTTGTAGTTCCTATATTTCTACTCATTCCACTTCTCATGTTGTTTTATCATAATCTCAATGTTAGAAGGGATTTTAAAAGCCTGGGATATAATAGACATTAATAAATGTCTTCTGAATAGAAAAAGTAGTATACTTGTTACTGGAAAGCCCCAAGTTGGAAGGGGGTAGGGGGGGCTCCTCCCCTCCTCAGCTCTTGTCAGTATTGTGAAAAGTAATTCAGACGAGTGACAGAAAGCAGCGTTGAAGCAAAGCAAGTGCATTTATTAAAAATACACTTAGGCCCTGGCCGGTTTGGCTCAGCGGTTAGAGCGTCGGCCTGCGGTCTGGAGAGACCCGGGTTCGGTTCCGCTAGGGGCACGTACTTCGGTTGCAGTTTGTCCCCGGCCCTGGTTGGTCGTGCGGGTGGCAGCCACTCGAGGTGTCCCTTCACGTCGATGTTTCTCTCTCTCTCTCCCTCCCACTCTATCTGTACAAAAAATGGAAAAATATCCTCGGGTGAGGATAAAAAAAAAATAAAATAAAATAAAAATACACTTAGCATAAAGCACAAGTGGGCAACTCAGCTAATCTGACTGTGCCTCCTGGTGGAGGCTCAAGAGATTGTATACCCTTCCTCCTATAGGTTTCATAGCTCCCCTGTTGGATATCTTGGTAACAGACTGGGTTTCAGAGTCCCCCTCTACATTGTTTGTGACTTATCTTGGAATGTTTGTACATACATTTGTTCATCTTGTTTGGCAAGATGCCCCATCTTAAAGAATACATTTTAAGCCCTGGCCAGTTTGGCTCAGCGGTTAAAGCGTCGGCCTGCAGTCCGGAGAGACCCGGGTTCGGTTCCCGCTAAGGGCACGTACTTCGGTTGCGGTTTGTCCCCGGCCCTGGTTGGTTGTGCGGGTGGCAGCCACTCGATGTGTCCCTTCACGTCGATGTTTCTCTCTCTCTCTCTTCCTCTCTCTCCCTCCCACTCTATCCGTACAAAAAATGGAAAAATGTCCTCGGGTGAGGATAAAAAAAAAAAGAATACATTTTAAGAAATTTGAAATTGTGTACTAAAATAAGAATATGTGCATGTTATATCAGATTCTACCTGAAATGTGTAGTGAAAAATAAACACCTAAATTAGGGAACAATCTAAGCTGCTATAACAAATAAATCCCCCAAAACAGTGGCTTAAACAAGATATGAATTTGTCTCATTTTTAACAGTCAGAGGCAGGCAGGCAGTCAGTGATAGTGAGTCACCTCTGCAACTTGAACCACAGCTTTGTATCTGTATCCAAGGTGGTTATACAATTCCCACCATCATACTATGTTTGTAGTAGGAAAGGAGAAAAGAAAGAGGAGCAGAAACCCATTCCTTTTAACAGTTTGACCCATCACTGCTGCTTACTTTTCTTTAGCCAGCACTTAGCCACAATTAGCTGCAAGGGAGACTTAGAAATATAGTCAGGTGTCAATGCCAAGCTAAAACTTGTAAGTTCTATCATTAAAGAAAAAAGGGAATGAGTATTGGTACCTGTATTAGTATACTTGGGATGCCATAACAAAATACCACAGACTGGTGACTTAACAACAGAAATTTATTTTCTCTTGGTTCTGGAGGCTAGAAGTCTGAGAACAGGGTTACAGCGGAGTTGGTTTCTGGCGAGAGCTCTTGTCCTGGCTTACAGATGGCTACCTTCTTGCTGTGTCCTTACATGGTGAATGTAAGCAAGCTCTCTGGGGTATCTCTTCTTATATAGATTCTAATCCAATTGCATCAGAGCACAGCCCTATGACTGCTTCTAGCCTAATTGCCTCCAGAAAGGCCCAAACATTGGGATTTGGAGCTTCAACATATGAATTTTGGGGAGATACAAACATTTAGTCCATAGCAGTACACCAGTTAGGGTTCTTTATCAAACCAACTCATTCAGGAATTGGACCTACAATCTTGGTTTCTCTGGCTCCATGTCATACCAAATCATAGAGCTCTTGGTCATATAGACCCATAATAAATAAATAAATAACCCTGGCCGGTTTGGCTCAGCGGTTAGAGCGTCGGCCTGTGGTCCCTAGAGACCGGGGTTTGGTTCCCGCTAAGGGCACGTTCCTCTGTTGCAGTTTGTCCCCGGCCCTGGTTGGTCGTGCGGGTGGCAGCCACTCGATGTGTCCCTTTCACATCGATGTTTCTCTCTCTCTCTCTCTCTCTCTCTCTCCCCCTCCCTCCCTCCCTCCCACTCTATCTGAACAAAATACCAAAAAAAAAAGGTCCTCGGACGAAGATAAATAAATAAATAAATAAACAAACAAACAAACAAACA